TATCTCTAAAGATCTATGTTTACATGCTTTGTACTGAAGGAACTCAATATAATCCGATAGAGAAACCATCCAACTATTCATAGTATAGGACCCCATTTTGCTACAACCGATTTCTCAAATTCTTGACTACAAGCTGTATGGTTAACCTTGGAATGCCAAATCAGAACACCTTTTTTTTTTGGGGGGGGGGGGGGCTAGGGGGGCACTGTTCACTCGCCAAAAAATAAAAAGGTTGCCGGAATTTGGTGAAACTTGAATGGACAAATCCAAAATAACCTCCTGAGTAATCTGTCCAAAAGAAGCTTAGTCGGAAAAATCACTATAGCTGCCAAAAGGTCAGTATAGTTGCCGGAAAATCCTCAAAGTGATCGGAATAAAAAGAAAAAGGTACGGGTAGGCTCGGAATTAGTGGACGACCAAACTTTCCTGAAGGAGCTGTGTCAAAAAATGGCCGAAAAAGGCTGCTCTCGACGACCCGTGAACTCACGCGCACGCCAGGACCCTGGCTTTTTCCGACGTGTGAAGGGGCTTCTGTCGGAGAGGCCGACTGGGGTTTGGTCTCCAGACTATGGTGGACCTTGTGGTGGTGTTGGTTTTCGCACAACACCGTCAGATATGAAGGTTGACGCGGACAGCCACTTAGGTCACCGAATAATTGCACGGTGACTGAGTTCTTTCTTCCCGGATGTCGCTGGAATAACGCACAACGATCTTTTCCCACCGATGCTCTGATAACATGTGAGAATGCACGGAAGAAAATAAATTATTGACATTTTCTGTTAAGAATTTTACAATAGCCCTATTTATAACTATACACAATACATATTCTACTCTTATTCCATGTGGAAATAGAACTATTTACATAACTATCTAACGGGTATGAGGAGGTGTCGAGGTAGGCCAAAGAAGTCTTGGAGAAAGGTGATTAGGCGGGATACGGTGCAACTGGAGCTTACTGAAGACATGACTCTTGATAGGAGGTTGTGGAGGTCCAGGATTAGATAGGAGGTTAGTAGGTAGTCAGTGTCTCCATTTGTCTTCCTCAGTTCGTTAGCATTGGTGTTAGTTTGTTATCCATTTATTCTTAGACTGCTACTAATACCGTTTATTTGCTACCTTGGTTTCAATCCTCTTTATCTTATTGTTGTTTATACTTGTTCCCATTGCTTCTTTGTACCTTTTCTTTAGCCGAGGGTCTTCCGGAAACAGTCTCTCTACCTTCTAGGGTAGGGGTAGGCTGCGTACATCTCAACCTCCCAATACCTCACTTGTGGGAATTCTCTGAGTTTGTTATTGTTGTTGTATAGTCTTGAAATTTTGCTAGAAACTTGAGCTTGAAGGCTCAACTTGACTCCTTTGCTACTTTACATATCAAAAATCAAGCTTACTTAGCTTTAACACTAACTTGGGCGCTCTAGTGCTAGTGAAGAAACTCTCTAATAACGACACTCAAAGGTGTGGTCCAGTTGGTCAATGAAGTGGGCTGAGAAGTCTCACGTTCAAATCCTAGCAGCAGGAAGAAAACACTAGGTGATTTCCTCGCATCTGTTCAAAACTTAGTGGATAGGTGCTGGTGGGAGCTATAACATACCCCGTGGAATCAGTCGATGTGCAAGCAAGCTGGTCCGAACACCAAGGTTATCAAAATGAACTCTCCAATAACGCTGCCTAATGCACTTTCCAACTCCTCAACATGTTCAACACACCACCCGTCGAGCTCAATTTGGACAAAACATTTTCTTAAATTTGGGGCTCAGCCTTTGGCGAGCCCCACTTTATACACATGGACTACGATTTCATATTGCACTTGATTGAGTTCATTAGACCGTTGTTGTGTAATTAAACTATTGGGGATTCACATTTAGTAATCTTGAATAGTGAATTACTTTTTGTTTCTATCTCAGGCAAAACGAATCAAAACAAGGCATACATATCATTGTCAAGGAAGCTAGATGGTTCCATATCCAAGCTAATGAAAGGTCAATTCACAAAAAAGGGTTGATCTTTGAACAAAATTTAGGCCAATCCCCAACAGATAAAACTGAATATATTCACATAAAGAGAACATAGAGTGTATTATTCATACCTCCACTCGCCTTCATCATAAGGAGAGTAGTCAATGTCCTCTTTCCTTACGCAATTAAACATCAAAGCAGCCAAAGACGCGAATATACCTACAAATATCCCAAATAACAAAGAAATTGAAGAGCACAAGAAGAACCTTAAGCAAAACCCCTATATCCAGAACCAAGAAAAATCAAGAATCACATGCAAGAAACTTAGATATCAAGAACCCAGAAAAATTCAACAATCTTACGCCAAAACCCATATCTTAAGAACCCAGAAAAATCAAGAATCTTAGGAAAACCCCATATAACAAGAATCAAGAAAATCAAGAATTGTAGGGAAAATATGATATGAGAGATAGGGGTGAAATACCTGGGAGATAATGAAGGAAAGAGACTTTGACGGAGCTACAAACGACGGCATCAACCCAGAACCACCAACCGGCGCCGAAGACAGCGCCGGACACCCCAGGTCCAAATATTGCCCATAGCTCTGGAAAATCCATTTGGATCACCTTTTCTTTACCCAAAAACCTGATGAAAAAGTAAAAATCCTTCAAAATTGATGAGAGTTCTCAGTGCAAAGAGAAAAGTTTCTTCAGAATTGTGGGGGTGTGATTGTGTGCTGTCTTCGTCAGTTGGTCTACAATGTCACTCTTCGAGTTGTATCTTTTCTTAAAAAAAAAAATAGATATTCTTTCCAGTAGTTGTCAATTTAAAAAACAAATATTCAATGTTAAGAAGTTAATCAAAAAGATGAGGAAAATAAAAATTTAAGCATTAAGCTCTACATAAAATCATACAATGTTTATTAGAGGAGTTAAATTAAATAATCCTTGCGAAACTAATATTTGTTGAACCCTGGAGAAGGGCGAAGGGCCTAAATTATCCTCAAGTATGCGATCTAGTATAATATTGGCCTCCGTTCACCAATCGGACTAAAAATATCCGCACATTAATTTATTGGCTCAAGTTTGCCTTTATTTCTAACGGTCCCCTTATGGTCGAGTGAATTTTTAGCACGATAGATAGATAGAAGGAAATATTGTACCAAATTTCATAGTTCAAAGGTATTTAGAGGTATTTTAGGCCCTTCTCTGTTCTATATTTGATCACATTATCGTTGCATTCCAATATATATTCCAATTTAATTGTTGATTGGTTTATGGACCTTAATTGGAGAAAAGTTGGTATAACAAAAATAAGAAAGAAACTTACATATATATATACTCTTCAACATCATTATTTCCTCTATAAGAAGTTTAGTGGAGCATTGTAAATACGGATATCAAGGGGAATACATATTTAGTTAAAATTTATTTATTTAAAAAAGGAAAAGGTCCAACTTTACGCGTATACTTTCGAATATTGTCTACATATAATCACCGTTATACTATTCGACAAATTTACCCTATCGTTATACTATCCAACCAAATTTACCTCTACCAACAGCAAACTTTAAAAATCACCCCCCAGTCCGTCATGTGACCTAGAATACTCTTTTTTTTTATCCATTATTTTTAAAATAGTTGGCATTTAAATGCTTTCTTAATTGGAGAAAAGAAATAAGTCAAAGAAATATTAAAATAATGTAGTGATTAGTAATAAAGTATAGTAAATTGAAGAATCTAAATTAGGTAACTTGTCTAAACTCCAAAAGTATTTACAACACCCCAGCTATAATGAATTCGTTGCACCAAAGGTTTGGAGACTTTGCAAGTATTAGTGATTAAAGTTAATGACCTTGAAGATTTTGCATTGTCGAATTCAATTTTGCTTTAGTCAAATGCCTACGCATTGTGAACTCTTCAGTTAGTTGACCGAACTCTATACTAACCAGATAATTATAAAATATATTCGAATACACATGTACATACATGATGAGTAGCAACATATAATACACAATAAATAGACCTACTGAATTCTGCGGTGTGTATATGATTGAAAAATTATAAAAAAATTTAAACTAATTTCAAACCCATTATCACAAAAAGAGAAGTGGCTGCAATGCTAACTAAAAATATCCATAAATAATTTGTGTAGTTTAGTACCTTTAGCATTCACGTCAATAGTATTTTCTAAAAATAGTGGATCAAGAAGAAGAATAAGTGATTTATTAACTAAAAGAGATTTGGGAGATTTTGAGTTACCTAACGGACTGAGGGGTAATTTTTAAAAGTTCGCTGATGGTAGGGATAAATTTGATCGGATAGTATGACGGTAGGGATAAACTTGACCAAATAATATAACACAGGTTAAATGTATACAATATCCAAAATTAAAAGGGAAATTTGGTCCTTTTCCCTTTAAAAAATACAAAAAAGGGCCTAAAAATAACCCTAAACTGTAAAATTTGGTACAAAATTTCCCTCCTCTATCTATTGGGCTAAAATTGCCAGCGGCTATAAGGAGACCATTGAAAATAAGGGCAAACTTGAGCCGAAAAATTAACGTCAAGGGTATTTTTAGCCTGATTGGTGGACGGAGGATAATATCGTACCAAATCCCATAGTTCAGGGGTATTTTAGGCCCTTCTCCGAAGAAAAAATGATCCCTACACAACTAATGGTTGGTAATTGGTGGTATTGAAGAAGTTAAAAGAAAAAGGTATATCCCTCTATTGCTTAAATATACCCCCTGATATACTTTTGGTCCACATTTACCTTGACCGTCCAGCAAATTTTTAAATATACCCCTTTTTTAACAGATGCGGCACGTGGCAGCCTCTAATAAAATTCTTCAACCTTGAAACTAAAAGTCTAAAACGAATAGAACTAAGACCCGATCCGTACTCATTTTTTCTTTTAAAACAAAACCCCTCTTTACCTAAAAGAATCTGTCGCCACCTAGAAAATTAGAAAGAGAACAAACTATGGTCTCGAACTAGGGTTATTTCTTTCTTTAAAAAAATCCTGATTGAAAGCTCTACAACTACAGAGGTTCTTTCTTTCTTCCAAAAATTACTTCTTTTATTTGCGACTAACCTAGGGTTTTCTATCATCTATAATCTTCGAAAAGAGCACACTATGTCGGGGAATTGATGCAAGATAGAATTTGAGGACAAATCTAGCTAAAAACTAAGCTAAGCTAAAGCTAAACTAAAGGATAATTTTCATTGATTATCTCTAAAATTGGTTACAAGGCAGTATATAAAGAAAAGCCTAGCTAATGGGTAGGGGTCAAACTGAAACTATTACAAGGGTAATAGGGTGAATTTATAAATAAAGAAACTAAACTAAAGGGATCAAAGTGTAGAGGATGGAACTTATGTCTAGCTTCTTCAAAACAACTCTTCCACAACAAAGAACAACTCAGCATGCTTCCTGTACAACCCCATAAGCTAATCACAATCTTTCTCATGGTCTCCTCCAATTTAGGTTGCAACATTACCCTCTCCTTCAGATCACCCTTGTCCTCAAGAGTGATAATGTCACCAGGATCAAATGGGAAGAGTAAAACGCCAACATTCACCGGTATATGCAAACACCCAACAGTAATTATGCCATCAAGTATAACATCTCCTCTAGAAACTAGAAGAATTTGAAATTTAGTGACATTCGACAAGTGCCCTTTAGAATGTAATTGCAGCAAGATTTGGTCAAAAGTCACACATGGACTAAATTGTGTGCCATCACCCTGCATATATGCAAATAATTTGACACTTGAAATTTCTGGTTTATCACTTCCCTTTCTCTGCATATAAGTGCCAATTGGGGGGACAAAGTTCCCCAAAATATTGGCGTGCTAATTTCCATAATGAAAGAAACAAGCTTCACCCTTTGATATTAACACCAGCAACTTTTGTAAAAGCTTGCATACATTTGGAGTAGCTCTCTGGAATTTTCAGACAGTGAGGCACTCAAATTGATGGCAATCATCACCATTGTGTAGACTAAAAATTCCACCTCTAAGGGAAAAAGCCTTACATTCACCCCAAGTCAACAATTCAATCTCTCTGTCTGTACACATAATATTCTGCCTTGTATCTTTTATTTTGTCAGACATCATATCCTGAACTCGAAAATTAGAGTGTAAACTCTCAAGACCTTTAACTATCTTGAAATAATTTTGTTCACGATGCTCTTCAGTCAATGCAACAGCCTGGGCTGCAGCTCCCGGAGCAACAACTTCATCAAGATTAACTGTAGCATTGGGATCTTTTCCACTAATTTTCTTAGCAATTTCCTGAACAGTTGGAAATCGAGTAGAACCACCAACAAAAATAACCCCATGAAGATTACTGGAAGAAAGTTTAGCCTTTCTCAAGGTATCCGTGATAGAAGTTCTAAATTTGTCAAGCACATCTAAGCAGAGTCCTTCAAACTTAGCCCATGTAATAATGGTTTCAACGTGTTTAGGACCATCTGCTGTGGCTTCATTCCACTTGAAGTATGCAGAGAGAATACCACCATCATGGAACCCATGTGACTGCAGCCCATCATTTTCTGTTGCTAAAAAGTCTAATACAACCTCTTTGAAGAAGTGATCTTGAGTTGGAACCAACCCGAGATTCTCTTTCCATTGCAGAAACAAGAGTGATGTATAAAGAGCTTCTCTAACTGCTATCACGGCCTTCTGACTTTCCTCATTTGAGAGTTCATCTTGTGAAAATTCTGCGATCTCTAGCTCAACCATCAGCCGTTTGTGTTGAGTTGCATCACATGAATAGAACTTACTACAGTTCTGAAACTCCTTCAAGATCTTTAAGAACTCCTTGCTGTGCATAAATATCCATAGAAGAAGTTTCATAATAACAGAGCTAGAACCATCGACTGCTGAAGAAAGTGTATAACAACGCCACTGAATAACAACAGCTTTCTGAAAGCTTTGCAGTCTGTGCAACTCAGCAACTTTTTCTTTGAAATCATAGTTACCATCTCTAGTTTCTTGAGAGCTTGAATTTATCCTTTTCATTGTTCCATTTGCAATTGAAATAGAACCAATTGAACTAGAGCCAATCACCAAGTGTATCAGTTTATTTGTATGATATGGTATAGCCTTAGCAACACGGATACTCGGACTGCTTCCTGGATCCCACATATGTAGTGATGTACCACCGAACTTACTTCTCATTGCATTCAAAATGGAACAAGCACTTCCAATTCTTGTCAATGTTATGTTATCTGGTTTAAGTCCCAAGTTCCTTAACCTAACAAATAGGAGAAGTGTCTTTCCTGATAAAACCTCTCTTAGCAGCAGGTTAACAAGCCCATCGTTCACCAATTCAACTTCTGATATCTCTTTTGTCTCTGATTTATCCAACTTCTTAAACAGAGTAAGGAGGTGCAGGTGACTATAATAGAAAGTTCTGGTGCTGCTATAATATGTGGACTCACTCTCTAAATCAAAGTCATAGTTGGAGGATGGACTCCCATCACCATCTGGCTCATTGTCACCGCATGATCTATAAACCTTCCATAAGGGTTTCAGAATTGCATCACAACTCTCAATACAATACCGTGCAACAGCTTTAGCAAGAACTTGTTACAATAACGTATTATCATCTTCCATTAGATCAGTTGTCTTGTTTTCAAGCTCAGAAGTAGCCACATTCACATTGTCAGTCATAGCAATTGATTCTTGCCTCGCCCATTCCTCCTCCAATCTGTACCTTTGATCATGCCCAATTTTGAAGCCCCTAGCATCAGTAATTACATTCTCTAGCAGCTGGCTACGAGTTTGAGAAGGGCTTCCATCTGCAAATACAACAGGTTTGGCGCTATCTAGCAAGCTATTGTTAGCTCTCCTTCTGAAGATATCACCACCCAGTGCATAAGCTATGAAACTACTAGATAAAAGTAGTCTCTCTTCCCTTACTAACTTAACAAGAGAATATACCTTTTTGGACTTGATGATTGAGTCAGCTACTTTGTCAGTAACACCCTTAATTGCATGAGTGTTTTGGACTTGCAGATATTCATGTGATGCTAATAAAGAGACAGGCTCGTCGACATCAATATTATGACTATAAGAATTATCAATGCTCGCACTCTGCCAATCAAGGTCATCACTATTAGGTGCACCACTAGCTCCAGCTGATTCTCAAGAACAGGACACTCTACCCCTTTTGGGAATTTGACTCCTTCCCAGCTCTCTTCCTCCAATGAACTTCCAGTATTCCAACAGCCTTTGAATTTAGTTCATCGTTTGCCATTCTCGTCATCTCCAATTGGCCAGTGTCTATCAGATTTTCAGAGACAGAAGCCAATTTATAAAAAGAGCCCTTTAATTCATAAGTTGGCATTTCATCAAACACCTTGTGTGCAAGAGAAGAATGCTTTTCCTTTTCCAATTGTTAATGACCAGCTACTTCTCTGCCTGGCATTTCATAGACCACCTTGTGCTCATATCCAACCTCTTCCTTTTTGATTCTATTCTTGTCTAGCCCATTCTCAGTAAGTCTCACCTGTAAATTATTCCCTTGAAACTCAAAGTCTTTATCATCCGATGTTAAACCCTCCAGCGATGCCTTTGGAATTCTAAATAAAGACCCAACAACAATGGATTTCAGTCTACCGATGTTATCTTCTTCGCTGGAGCTTCAGTAATAATGGAGGATGACGATTCAAGCTTCCCTACAGGAGCTGCCAATATAGGTCCACTCGATGTCGCATAAACCTCCTGCTCCCCATTCACTTCAGATGAATATGGGTTATTATCCGCCCAGTTTTTGTTACGTCGTTGACCCTGTGAAGCTGGAGAACAAGTAGTATCTATAGGCCACATTAGGATCAGAATTGTAGCCTAAATCCCCAGGCGGTGTGTAACCCCCATATGCCCCATAGTCTCCGGAATGGTAATAGGTGCTTGAGTGTGTTGCAAGTCCAGCATAAGGTCCAGTGCTAATAAACGAGGAAGCCGCAAACTCCAAACCACCGTAATTGTACACATTTACTCCATGAGCATACTATGCAGCATAAGAACTTCCACGACCATATGGGTAATGTTGGCTTGCCAAGAAAATTTCCATATGGGTCAGAGGATCGATGCTCTGATACCAAATGATGCAAGATAGAATTTGAGGACAAATCTAGCTAAAAACTAAGCTAAGCTAAAGCTAAACTAAAGGATAATTTTCATTGATTATCTCTAAAATTGGTTACAAGGCAGTATATAAAGAAAAGCCTAGCTAATGGGTAGGGGGTCAAACTGAAACTATTACAAGGGTAATAGGGTAAATGTATAAATAAAGAAACTAAACTAAAGGGATCAAAGTGTAGAGGATGGAACTTATCTGTAGCTTATGTCTAGCTTCTTCAAAACAACTCTTCCACAACAAAGAACAACTCAGCATGCTTCCTGTACAACCCCATAAGCTAATCACAATCTTTCTCATGGTCTCCTCCAATTTAGATTGCAACAGGAATAGTTGCTCGTCAAAGAGAAAGCGTCATTGCTGGGAAATTACAAACTATTTCACTTCAAAACTCGTTTTAATCCTGGAAGGAGATTCTATAAGTGTCCAAAACCCGAGGTTAGTTCTAATATCTAATTTGTGTAGCTGTTAATTTTTGTTTTAACTATTGATAATTTTAAAGTTATTTTGGTTAGAAACAAGGATGTGATTATGGGGAACGACATGATACAGAGCATTTTGGATGGTGTGTTAATTGCAATAAACCAATTACAATTACACTTGGAAGCATCAAAAAGAAAGATCGATATCTTGAATATGTCGTTAGATGAGGCTAAGAAAAGGGACGAGTTGAAGGAATAAGTGGAAGTCTTGGAGGTTATCAAGAATTTTTAAGTCAATAAGACTATGGAGATGTTGAAGATGAAGATGTTCATTATGATGTTATGTAAACTAATCGTTGGATTTGTTGCTGCTGTTATGTTGAAGTGAAACAATCTATAATAGTTGAATATTAGGATGTTTATTTAGTGTGAGTAGTGATTTTCTTTCGGATGTGATTAATTGTTGGATGTGAACCAGATATGTTCATTACGCTTTTGTTGAAGTGAATGTTATATCTGTACTATTTAAGGATGTTCATTAATATTGTATTGTCTAGTCTTTCCAAGTATTTGTAATGACTAAGTTAAGTGAATTTTCAATTGTATAATTCACTACTGCATCTTATTGTCAGACTCAGAGGTATCTTAAATGCTGATAGTAACGAGAATCATAGAACAATTTGACATGGGTTAATTTTGTTGGTTTACCTTTTATATATGTTAAGCTCATGATATTTGTTCGAGTTGATACGTTGTAAGTTTTCTCTTTGGCTGTATTTGGGTTGGTATATATCTAAATTATTTTTCTAAATTAATAGTAGTTTTTTCACATAACTTTGTTGCTTTCCAATTTTGGTTTGACTTGCTCAAGACTAGTCATATATATCAAATGTTAAAATAAAATATGTAAATGGCTTATGATCAAAGTTTCTGGCCTAGCTTGTTGGCCATAAGCTTATGAACAAATTTATCCTAGCATGTCATAACACTATCTAGCTCCAAAACTTGCATATATGTATGAAACTGCAAAACTTTGGTGGCAAAAAATACAGCTGAACAATTAAGTAACACAACTTCACTGTAATGAGCCGATCGGTTTTTTTGAACTCTAGCTTGTTATTCAGCAGTTTGAGATCATGAGCAGCTTCATTTCAGGTATGATGACTCGCACGCGTGGTCGTAATTGAATTCCGGGAAGTTCGGAGTTGATTTGGAAAGAGAATTCTCATTTCGGAAGCCTAAAGCTGGAAGAATCTGACTAAGAGTTGATTTTGAGTAAACGACCTCGAAATCGGGATTTGAAGGTTTTAACAGGTTTGTATGATGATTTCGGACTTGGGCGTATGTCCGGATCGGGTTTTGGATGGCCCGGGAGCGTTTCGGCACCTATTGTGGAAGTTAGCATTTTGAAAGAATTTCATGAATTTGGGTTGAAGTGCATTTCAGTGTTATCGATACCCGTTCGGGATTCCGAGTCTGGGAATAGATCCGTATGGTGATTCTGTTATTGGAGCGTGATCGGAAGTGATTTGGAGGTCTGTAGATCATTTTGGAGTCATTTGGCGAAAGTAGAAATTTGAAGGTTTTTGAGAAGTTTGACCGGAAGTGGACTTTTTGATATCGGGGTCGGATTTCGATTACGGAAGTTAGAGTAGGTCCGTAATGTCAAATATGACTTGTGTGCAAAATTTGAGTTCAATCGGACGAGATTTGATAGGTTTCGGCATCGAATGCTGAAGTTGAAGTTGTAAAGTTCATAAAGCTCGAATTGGGGTGTGATTCCTGATTTTGATGTTGTTTGATGTGATTTGAGGCCTCGAGCAGGTCCGTGTTATGTTGTGGGACTGGTTTGTGTAATTGGACGGGGTCCCGGGGCCTCGAGTGTATTTCGGGATGGTGCCGGATCATTTCGGGCTGTTTTAGACTGGTGTTGCTGGTATCTGGTTTCCTTCATCACGAACGCGAAGGGTGTCCCGCGTTCGCGAAGAGGAAAGTTTGAGGTTGCTGAGTTCTGGTCTTCGTGAATGCGACATGGAGGTCGCGAACGCGAAGGGGTTTCCTGAGGGACCTACGCGAACGCGTAGAAGGAAAGGAGGAGCTGGGCCTGGAGTCATTTAGCCTTCGCGAACGCGGAGCTCCCACCGCGAACGCGAAGCAGTGGATCCTGGTGCCTTCGCGAACGTGAAGAGAAAAATTGAAGGCAGTGCAAGTTTGGCCTTCGCGAATGCGAGGGTATTTGCGCATTCGCGAAGGAGGGTCACCTAGGCAGTGTTCTTTTAAAAACGGGAATTTGGCTCATTTTCACTTCATTTCTTCCATGGGAGGCGATTTTGGAGTGTCATTTCCAGCATCTTCTATGGGGTAAGTGATTTCTTCTCATAGTGAGTTAAATACATGGTCTCTATATGGATTTAGACATGAAAATTTGTAGAAATTGTGGGATTTGGAAGAAAACCTAGAAATCTATATTTTTGGATTTTGACCACGAATTTGGGCATGAAATTGAGAGTAAATTATATATTTGAGTTCGAGAGGTTCTGGGTAAAGTTTATCTTCGAAAAATTTCGAAATCCGGGCACGTGGGCCCGAGGGTGATTTGTTTCGACTTTTCGATCGGGGTTAGAAATTGTTATAAATTGGATTGTAATGAGTAATTGAGCATATATTAATGGGTTTGCATAATTATTGGCTAGTTTTGGAGCATTGTGCTTCGATTTGAGACATCGGAAGGGCGTGGAATATCGGTTATGGAACTTCGGAGTGAGGTAAGTCTCCTTTCTAACCTTGTACAGGGAATTAACCCAATAGGTGTAATAAGTAAATATGTGCTCTTGTGGGCGCTACGTACGTATGAGGTGACGAGAGTCCGTGCGTAGCTACAATTATGCTTATGCCCGGGTAGTCTAGGACCCAAAAGTATATTTTGCTTGCCGTACTTGTAACTTTATTGACAATTTAAAAGGCTTACATCATATCGAACTTGGTAAATAAATTTCTCAAGGGCTAAACATCACTTTCTTGATTGTTAGAAGAGAAGTTGTCATTTCCTAGGGTAATTTTCCTGATGAAGTCTTGATTGACTGTTTGAATGTGCGTATCTATGTGTACCCGCGTCGCACGTATGATTCGCGAGCGGGGAAATTCTTTCATTTATATTTGATCGCGTCGCATGCATGATTCACGAGCGGGATAATAAATTCATCTATGGTTTGCGCCATTCGACCCTCTGGCAGTGCACAGTTTATATATTATGTTGGATTGGGCTGTACGACCTCGGCATGATTTGCGCATGACTTGATTGATTGTCTTTGAATTTTAGGTAATTGATATGGCCTCATCGGTCGGAGATGTAAATTGTTAAAAGATGAAAACAAGTTTGAAGATTTCTATCAATAAAAGAATTGTTTACTTGCTTCATGATTATTGAGTTTGTAGTCGCCTTATAAAATCCATGATTTTTCACATTATTGGTATCATATTATTGGACCACTAGTAAGTGTCGAAGTCGACCTCTCGTCACTACTTCTTCGAGATTAGACTGAAAACTTACTGGGTACGCGTTGTTTCCATACTCATACTAGACTTGCTGTGCATTTTTATTACGCAGGCACATGTATGTCTAGTGGCCTCGTTGGGCGCATCGGCATGGTCGATACGGAAACTTAGGTGAGCTGCATCTCTCGAGATGACCCGCAGCCAGCAGAGTCTCTTTTAAAGTATTGTATTTTTCTTTTCTGTCCAACTTGTATTTCGAACAGTTATTGTATTACATTTTATTTCCTGAATATTATTCATGCACTTGTGACACCGGGTTCTGGGATGTATAGGGGATTATTCAGTATTGAAAATTTATTAATGACATCATTATTTACTCGGTGAAGTTCATTATTTATTATTTAATGTAAGGAAAAGAAATGATTTCAAAAAAAAAATACTAAAATGAGAATTTAATTAACTTCTTGGTGTTGGCTTGCCTGATAGTGGTATCCGGCGCCATCACGACCCTTAATGGATTTTGGTCGTGACATTCAGCTGCATAAATCAACTATATGTATACTATATAAATTAAGTATCATTTTGTCACAATTAAACCTGGTAATTAACAAAACAAAAAAAAATATAAAATATCAAAAACTCATAATTTATGATAGTCATAAGCTTGGCAAGTACATCTAACTGGAGAAGTGGATGCCTTGTTACAACCCCGAGAACTTATACAACCTAAGTCATAATATGACATCTAACTCCATGTGGCACCAACACAACCAAAAACCAAAAAAATGTAAATTGTCATATAGCAGTAACATTCAAATTTTTCACTGCCCAACAAAACAAAATAGGATTATCCTTCTATTTCCTTCCATGCTAAGCAGAATATCAAATCCCCCTTCTTGGTTGTAACTTCCCAATTCTCTGTCTAGCTTGTATCTCCAACTGATTTCCAGTCAATGCAGACTTTTCCTTTCCTTGTCAAGTTTCTAGGTGAGTATGGAAGATCAACTGGTTCACTTACACCTGTGAATTTGATTTTCTTTGTCCCTAAGGTCATCTTTACGTGTTGTCTTTCTAGAAGTCTAGTTTGTGATTCTGATATAATATTGGGTCTTATTACAGGTTCAGGATCATCCTCAAAAGTTGAAAACTCAAAATCTGAATAAGAATACACATTTGGAGTAGGCATAAACATAAAGGATTAACTGCTGACAGTGCATTGGGATGTTGATAAGCTAATATTCAGTTCTAATTGTTTCTAAGTTCTCTATCTCTTAGCTGGCTTTTTAGCCTTGGATGTCTGCCCCTCATCTGATGGCTGCTTACCCTTTGTTAGTTTCTTTTCTTTTATTGGCTATCACACAAAAATATAATGCAATTAGAGTTGAATAGTTATGTAATAATGTTACGACCCAAAACTCAATCCGTTGTGATGGCGCCTGTCGTGGAACTAGGCCAGCCTCAACTCAACAAACCAATACAACAACAATAAGTTTGAAAACCAGGGTGTCACTGAGTGCATGAGCGTCTAGGGAAAAACATAGTCTATTACTAAAGAAGCAACTGAAATAGAACTGGAGAATAAGAAGGAGAGCCAAGGCCTGCAAACGTCGTGCAGATACCTCAATAATCTCCTAAGCCTGAAGCCTCGATCAACATTCGCCATTAGGCCCAAAAGTGCCTGAATCTGCACACAAGGTGCAGGGGGTAACGTGAGTACACCAACTCAATAAGTAACGAGTCCAAACTATGGACTGAATGGTAGTGACGAACTCAAACTCAACAGATATAATAGAAACAACGTACAGAAAACGTAGGCATGCTTTCAGTTAAATAGACAGCTCAAAGTAATAAGGTAAATACAAGTCTGAATAGTTTAAAATATGTTACACCCCATAAGTTTAACAATCTTGATATATACATATATATATATATATATATATATATATGTCATTATATACATGCCATCCATGCTTAGTGTAAACCTTATATATTATTGATATTGACCTTAGTAAGTGTAAGTCGACCCCTCGTCACTACTTCTTCGAGGTTAGACTGGATACTTGCTGAGTACATGTTGTTTATGTACTCATACTACGCTTCTGTACTTGACTGTACAGGATCTGAGGCAGG